TGAAATCTTTAAGTGGTTTTAATTTGCATTTCCTAATTGCTAATGATGTTGAACACCTTTTAAGATGCTTCTTGGCCATCTTTATTCCTTCTTTAGAGAACTCTCTGTTCAGCTCCTTACCCTATCTTTTAATTGAATTACTTCCTTTCTTAATTCTTTGTTCTTTGAGTTTGTTATCTATTCTGGATGTTAAACCTCTGTCAGATATGTTGCTGGTGAAGATTTTCTCCCATTCTGTGGGTTTTCTCTTCACTTCCCTGGTTGCCTCTTTTAATGTACAGAAGCTTTTTAGTTTAATGAGGTCCCATTTGTTAATTCTTGCCCTTGTTTTCTGAGCAATTGATATCCAGTTTAGAAAATCCTTTCCTACACCTATATCTTGTAGGTTTTTCCCAATGTTTTCTTCTAACAGTTTCAGAGTTTCAGGCTTTTACATTGAGGTCTTTGATTCATTTGGAATTGAATTTTGTACAGGGTGAAAGACAGAGGTTTAGTTTCATTCTTCTACAGATGAAGATCCAGTTTTGCCAGCACCATTTGCTGAACATGCTGTCTTTCCTCCAGTGAGTATTTTTGGGCCCTTTGTCAAACATCAGGTGGCTGAAATTTCATGTACTCATATTTGGGTCTTCAATTTTGTTCCATTGGTCTATGGGTCTATTTTTGTGCCAGTACCATGTTGTTTTTATGACTATAGCTCTGTAATACAGCTTAAAATCTGGTATAGTAATCCCCCTGGCATTGCTCTTAGTCCTCAGGGTTGTTTTAACTATCTGAGATCTTTTGTGCTTCCATAGGAATCTTAGGATGGTTTTTTCAATTCTGTGAAAAATGTCGTAGGAATTGCATTGAATCTGTAAATGGCTTTTGGTAGGATGGTCATTTTCACAATATTAATTCTTCCAATCCATGAGCATGGGTGATCCTTCTATCTTTGATGTCTTCCTCAATCTCTTTCCTTAAAGATTTAAAATTTTCATTGTAGAGCTCTTTAATGTTTTTGGTCAGGTTTATTCCAAGTTTTTTTTTTTTTTGCAGCTATTGTGAAGGGGAGTGTTTCCATGTGCCTTTTCTCTGATTGCTTGTTATTGGTATACAGAAAGGCTACAGACTTTTGTAGGTTAATTTTGTAACCTGCCTCCCTTATCGCTCTTGCAAGAGTTTCAAGCACTATGTTAAAGAGAAGTGGAGATCGTAGACAGCCTTGTCTGGTTCCTGATTTCAATGGGAATGCTTCCAGTTTTTCTCCATTTAGAATGATGTTGGCTGTGGGTTTGTTGTATATGGCTTTTATTATGTTGAGGTGTGTTCCCTCCAGTCCAATTCTCTCTAGGATTTTGGATATAAATGCGTGTTGAATTTTGTCAAAAGGCCTTCTCTGCATCTATTGAGATGACCATATGGTTCTTGTCTTTGAGCCCATTTATATGATTTATGACATTTATTGACTTATGTATATTGAACCGTCCCTGCATCTCTGGGATAAAGCCGACTTGATCATGGTGGATGATCTTTTTGATGTGTGTCTGTATGTGGTTTTCAAGTATCTTGTTGAGAAATTTTGCCTCTATGTTCATTAAGGATATGGGTCTATAGTTTTATTTTTGCTTGTATCTTTGCCTGGCTTTGGTATTAGACTGATGCTGACTTCATAGAAGGAATTTGGAAGTTCTCCCTTCATTTCTATCTTTTTGAATAAATTAAGTAATATTGGATGTAGATCTTCTTTAAATGTCTGATAGAATTCTGCTGTCAATTCATCTGGTCCTGGGCTTTTTTTAGTAGGGACTGTTTCAATTTCCTTATATTTTATGGGTCTGTTTAAGCTTTTGATCTCTTCTTGGTTTAGTTTTGGTGGTTCCTATGCCTTTAGATATCCGTCCATTTCTTTTAGATTTTCAAATTTAATAGCATACAGGTTTTTAAAGTTTTCCCTTATAGTGTTCTGTATCTTTCTGGTGTCTGTTGTGATGTTTCCCCTTCATCACTGATTTTGTTGATTTGGAGGTGCTCTTTCTTTCTTTTGGTTAACTGGGCTCGTGGTCTGTCAATCTTGTTTATCTTTTCAAAGAACCAGCTCTTGGATTTGTTGTTTCTTTGTATTGATTTCTTTGTTTCAAGTTCATTAATTTCTGCCGTGATTTTTATTATTTCTTCTTGTCTGCTGGGTTTGGATTTCATTTTCTGTTGCTTTTCAAGTGTCTTGAGTTACAACATTGTCATTTATTAGTGTTCTTTCCTATTTTTTGATGTAAGCACTTAGAGCTATAAACTTTCCTCTAAGGACTGCTTTCAGTGTGTCCCAGAAGTTTTGTTGTGTTCTATTGTCCTTTTCATTTAGTTCCATGAATACTTTTCTTTCTTTCTTAATTTCTCTTTTGACCTTTTCATCATTTAGGAGTTTGTTGTTTAATCTCCATGTGTTCATGTGGTGATTAGGGCTTCTTCTGGTGTTGATTGTAAGCTTTATTGCACTGTGGTGTGATAGAATGCATGGAATTATTTTAATCTTTCTGTATTTGTTGAGGTTTGTTTTATGCCCCAAGTATATGGTCGATTTTGGAGAAGGTTCCATGGGGTGCGGAGTAGAATGTATGTCCTTTGTTGCTTGGGTGGAATATTCATTAGATGTCTGTTAAGTCCATTTGATATATGGTATTGTTTAATTCAGATGTATCTCTGTTAACTCTCTTCCCTGTTGACCTATGTAATGGAGACAGTGGGGTATTGAAGTCCCCTACTATTAATGAGTTGGGATTAATCTGGGTTTTAAAGTCCTTTAGTATTGTTTTTATGAAGTTGAGTGCACCATAGTTTGGTGAATATATATATGTTCATGATTTTAATATATTCTTGATTTATTGCTCCTTTGATCAGAATGAAGTGGCCCTCTTTATCTCTTTTGAGTAGTTTTGGTTTAAAGTCTATTTTGTTAGATATTAGAATTGCTATGCCTGCCTTTTTCTTAGTGCCATTTGTTTGCTATATATTTTTTCCATCCTTTCACTTTAAGATAGTGTCTTTCCTTGAAAGTGAGATGAGTTGCTTACAGATAACAAAAAGATGGCTTTTATTTTCTTAATC